TTCGACACAAGAATAGCAGACCTCCATCAAGAGGCAGAAATTCCCAAAGTAGATTCCAAAATTGATGATATGACAACTAAATTTATTCAAAAATGCAATCTTTCTGAACATGCTTTAATAAGCAATTTGTACATAGTAGGTTAAGTGTATATAGTAGAGTAGGTTAGTTTTAAGCTGTAAATAGTAGTATTAAGTAGTTTCTCTTCAAATTCTAAAAACAAAACAAACCAATCCCACCAAGGTGGTCGACCGTGTACTAAGTCTAGGACTAATCCTGTAAAACAAATTTTAAATTTTGCCCATACCTAAAGATGAAGAAAGCAATTAAATCACTTAGTAAAAATTTATATGGTAATCGTCCAAGTTAAACTAAAATAAAGATCATTTAAACTAAAAAAACTTTGTCATTCGCTGCCAGACTGTTGAGCAGTTCAGTCGATTTTAATTCTCTCTAGTTTCGTTCGTTCGTTCGCAAGTCGAATTAGCTCCGCGTTGTATAGTGACGCTCTCGCTGACCCAGCCATGGGTAAGAAATCGCGCGGTAACGCGAGTGCCGGCTTACCGGGAAAACAGACTCTCCCAGGAGACGGCGCGACCACCGAGCCAGCTCAGAAGAAGCAGAAGAAAACCCCATTGCCCGTCCCGACAGGCGTTGCGGACCCGCAGCCGGGGCCTCCCGGAACTAAACGACCCAGACCTGAAGACATCAGCGCCACCGCATCGGCAGCAAAAAAGCTGCTGAGCAACAATCCGTTCTCCGCCCTGCAGAACGGAGCCCAGCCGCAGTCGGACCCTGAGACGGTGCCTAAAAAAAGTTAAGTTGCCACCCTTCTATGTGAAGGGCTTCCCTCCCGGGCTATGGGAGCAGCTGGATTTCTACATTAAGCAGGGCCTTCGCTGCACCATTCAACGGTGCACGGAAGGCTACAAACTGATGGTCTCGGCCGAAAATCACTACAACGCAGTCCAGGCCCTCTTGGACAGGATGAAGCTGGAGTACTTCTCCCACGACGTCGAGGCCACCAAGCCGCTGAAAGTGGTGCTGCGCGGGCTCCACGACATGGACACCACCACCTTAATGGACGAGATTAAGGCGAACGGCCTCAAGCCGGTCGAAATCCACAAGATGACCCGCAGCAAGGCCATCAAGTATCGTGACCAGCTCTACTTGGTCCATCTGCAGAAGAACTCCACAACCGTGAAGGATCTCCATACGACACGCACACTGTTCCACATCGTAGTGAAGTGGGAGCGGTATAAGCCAACCCACCGTGGCGTCACTCAGTGCTCGAACTGCCTATTGTTCGGGCACGGCACCAGGAACTGCCGCATGGCCAGCCGCTGCATCAAATGCGCAAAAACCACAAGATCGACGACTGCGACAGCATCGAGGAAGCCGCTCCCACATGCGCCAACTGCGGTGCTGCCCACAAGGCCACGAGTAAGGCCTGTCCGAAGCGGGCCGAATACGCCGAGATCCGGAAGAAGGCCTCGTCCAACAACCAGCCCGGTCGCAAGAAGGTCCCGGAAAACAACGCGCAGAACTTTCCTCCGTTATCACCGGTCCAACCACGGCCAATTCCAGTGTTGGCGCCGCTCCCGCTCAACCAACAGTTGGCTGCTGCCCAGTCGGCTGCCGCTGCAGTACCCAGTCAAGCCTCCGGCCCATCGACGGATCCCCCTGCTCCGGGATTGGCCGGTACAACCGGTGAAGCTACAGACGATTCTCCACTGTCAACGGATGAGATCGTCACACTGTTGGCCCAGGCCATCATCATCAAGCGCACCTGCGCAACAAGAACACAACAGCTCCAAGCTATCATCTCCTTCGTCGCTAATTATGGACCGTGAACCCATAAAGATCGCCAACTGGAACGCTCGCTCCGTAGGGGCGAAAAACATTGAGCTTGCAGACTTCCTCCGCAAGCACGACATCGACGTGGGCCTTCTCACCGAGACCCACCTCAAGACCGGTGACAGCTTCTGGCTGCCCGACCACAGCATTGTCCGGCTTGATCGCACCAGCTCCAGGGGGGGCGGTGTCGCGGTCATCATCAAGAAAGGCATCAAGTACTGCACCCTACCCCACTACCGCACTTCCATCATCGAGGCCGTCGGCGTTGAGGTGGAAACATCGACCGGAAACGTCCGGTTCATCGTTGTCTACTGCCCCCGGCAATGTACCGTTAGCAATGGTACAGCACAGCAGTTCAAGAACGACCTTGCCATCATAACCCGCACCAATGCCCGCTTCGTAATCGGAGGGGACCTGAACGCCCGGCACGAGGCCTGGCGGAACTACCAGCAGAACCAAAACGGCCGCCTGCTATTCGACCATTCCCAGCATGGTCTCTATTCCGTCTGGTTTCCGGACGAACCAACCTTCACATCACCGGCGGGCAACCCATCGACGCTGGACCTGTTCTTGGCAAACACCAGATTAGCCAAGCCGGTTGCCGTCAACGACCTGAGTTCGGACCACCAACCGGTGCTGACCGAGCTGGGCTACAACGTGGCCCCTGCACCGTGCCAGCGGAAGGACTACCATCGAGTCAACTGGGTCCAGTTTCGACGCGTGGTCGACCGCCACATCGACGACAACCCACCACTCGACACAGTGGAGGACATCGACCGGGCTCTGGAGGGTCTCCATCAAGCCATATCCGTGGCTGACGAAGAGTGCGTTCGACGAGTTCCTGTGAGGGGTAAGTTTCAAGCAATTGATTCCCACACCAAACTCTTGATTCGGCTCAGAAATGTTCGTAGACGCCAGTTTCAGCGGACTGGGGATCTGCAGCGTAAATACGAAATGGTCGATCTGAATCGGCAGATCGCTTCCAGAATGGTCTCAATCCGGAACGAGAGTTTCGGGCGGCTCGTTCAGAACCTGGACGACCGTTCCAGACCATTCTGGAAGGTTGCCAAGGTGCTGAAGTCTCACCCCAAGCCCATTCCACCACTTAGAGTCAATGACGAACGGCTTATCACCAACGAAGAGAAGGCCAATGCAATTGGGGAGCACATTGCCCAATCGCATTTGCTTGGCTCTACAATCCCAAGTCCACTCGAGAACCAGGTTGTGCAGTGCGTCCAGACGTTAGATACCTCCCCTTGTGCCGTCCCTCCAGAAGAACGGATTACAGAGGAACAAATTTGCTCAGCGCTGAAATATAGTAAAAACATGAAGGCTCCCGGGTTTGACGGAATATTCAACCTAGCGTTGAAAAATCTCAGCCCGAGGGTCCACTCGCTGTTGGCTGCCATCCTCAACAGATGCTTGGAGCTGCACTACTTTCCAAGCATCTGGAAGGTGGCAAAAATCATCCCGATCCGCAAACCTGGGAAAGACCCTTCACTACCGTCAAGCTACAGACCGATTAGCCTGCTCTCAGCGCTGAGCAAGCTGTTCGAAAAATTGATCCTCAGCCGACTAAACAAGTTTGTGGAGGAACATGACATTCTTCTTCCGGAACAGTTCGGGTTCCGCAAGGGGCATTCCACCAATCATCAGCTAGTGCGGGTGATGAATAACATCCGAAGTAACAAAGCTGTATCCAAGTCCACAGCCATGGCCTTGTTAGACGTCGAAAAGGCGTTTGACAATGTCTGGCACGACGGACTTATATACAAGCTTTGTAACTCCAACTTTCCACCATACCTTGTGAAAATCACCCGTAACTATCTCCAGCAAAGGTCGTTCAGGGTGTCGTTGAATAGTTCCCTTTCGGGACAATTTCCGATCCCAGCAGGTGTTCCGCAAGGGAGTCTGCTGGGACCACTGCTTTACAGCATCTACACGTCGGACATCTCTCCTCTAGGAGACGGTTGCGTGTTCTTTCTGTTTGCAGATGACACCGCGATAGCCGTCAAGGGTAGGATGCCTCGTGAAATTACGAACAAGCTCCAACGATGCCTTGACACCTTTACTGATTATGCCACCACGTGGAAAATCATAATCAACGCCTCGAAAACCCAAGCAATCATGTTCCTTCACAGACAATCGCCAAAACTTAAACCGTCTCCCTCCTGTACCGTAATAATGGATGGTACAAGGGTCGAGTGGTCCACTGATGTTACTTATCTCGGGATGTTGTTCGATGAGAAGCTCCTGTTCCGCTCGCACATAGAGAAAACCCTAGTTAAGTGCTCCGCCTTGGTTAGGTGTTTGTATCCGCTCATTTGCCGCAGATCCCGCCTCTCAAGGCAAAACAAACTGGCTGTTTACAAACAGATCATAGCCCCCGCGATCTTATATGCCGCCCGGTGTGGGAATCGTGCGCTCAGACCCACAGGAACAAAATCCAGGTTGCACAGAATAGAGTGTTGAGGATGATCCTAGATCGTCCATTCGACACAAGAATAGCAGACCTCCATCAAGAGGCAGAAATTCCCAAAGTAGATTCCAAAATTGATGATATGACAACTAAATTTATTCAAAAATGCAATCTTTCTGAACATGCTTTAATAAGCAATTTGTACATAGTAGGTTAAGTGTATATAGTAGAGTAGGTTAGTTTTAAGCTGTAAATAGTAGTATTAAGTAGTTTCTCTTCAAATTCTAAAAACAAAACAAACCAATCCCACCAAGGTGGTCGACCGTGTACTAAGTCTAGGACTAATCCTGTAAAACAAATTTTAAATTTTGCCCATACCTAAAGATGAAGAAAGCAATTAAATCACTTAGTAAAAATTTATATGGTAATCGTCCAAGTTAAACTAAAATAAAGATCATTTAAACTAAAAAACAAAAAAAAACTTTGTCAGTCTTTCTTGCATCCTGAAGAATAAAGCAACCACAACAAGTAAAAAGGCTTCTCGCAGTATTATTTCAAGAAGAAACGTCTTCCAGTTTGCTTGCTCCTGCTGTTGATTGGTTTCGTCTGCTTGCTGTTTGAAGTTCCGGTCGTCAGCGTCCTGCTCTGACATGGTCCTACTAGTTGTCTGCTGTGTGTTTCCACATTATCACTTTTCCAAAAGAGTTTATTTCATCGGAGTTCTTTTCAGAACTTCCGATATCGTGTGGTAAGTGGCTTCACCAGCAGAACTAGTGCCCACTCCGTTCCGGGAGCAGCAATCCGTTCCATCGCTTGTCGTTGACAGTGGGTCAACGAAGCATAGTTCGTGTTCATCGTTGGCAGTGGCCAACAATCAGTCTGTCCGTCGATCTCGTTGGCAGTGAGCCAACAAGAAAAATCGTGTTCGTTCGTGTCTGTTGGCTGTGCCCAACAGAGAGTATCGAACGGAAACGACCACAGGTTGAACATGTCGATCCAATCAATACCCATTACGTTGAGATCTGGTGATGACGTTACGAAACACTGACCACGCTTGACCATGTCATTGAGGACTGCTTCACAATGGAATTCTCCGATGAGAGCGAGTGGTTCACCAGATGCGTTGGAGGCTTCGATTGATGATGGAGTTAGCTTTGGTCGTCTCAGTTGCTGCCAAGTTTTCTTGGAAATCACCGTGATATCACTTGCAGAATCCAGTTGTAGCGAAGTCATGACACCGTTGATGTTGATGGTCACATATTTGCGTTTTCGGTTACTGTTTGCGATGTGCTTCACGAATATTCCCTTGGCTTGAGATCTGGGACTGGCCTTCTTCTGGAACTGCTTCTTCTCTCGAGGTTGAGTTGAAGAGTCGCTTGAAGACTTCTTGATGCAGCTACAGTAGCCTTCTTTATGACCGATGCAGTTACATGCAGAGATGATCAGAAAATGGACAGTCACGGACGTAGTGCATTTGACCACACTGCCAGCATGGAGTACGAGGAGTGGACTTGCTTTCCGTTTTCAGTGGACGATGCTGGTTTCCGGGTTTCTTCTCCGAAATGCTATGGACCGAATTCTTCGAACTTGATGGATGTTCGTTCATCGTAGTGTCCGACTTGATGTTGACGAGCCGCTGGAACTCGGCGATCAGAGTTTGAATTGTCACCGGAGCATCAGCCGTTTCACCTTCAATCCGGGATAGAAGCCTTGCTCGAATGTCCGCGTAGCGTGGTGCTTTGAGACCACAGACAAAAATCAAGCACTTGAAGTGATCAATCTTCAAATTCTGGAACTCGAACTCTTCACATGCCCTGTTGACTTTTCCGCCATAGGTGATTATGTCGTCGGCCTCGGACTTGAGTAGCTGCATGTACTGGTAGCGTTTGTGGAATACGGAGGTCTGTCTGCCGAAGATCTTTGTGAGTGTGTTGACGGTATCGGTAAACGTGACGTCCTTTGGTAGTTTAGGTACTTGGAGGCGAACCAGCCCCAGGCTGAAAGCCTCCCTAATAAAGATAAATAATAATAGTTTAGAAAGGATGTAGTTGACGTAGCGACTGTGAGAGGACGTGTCCAACTTCCGGAGCAGAAGCCTAACTTTTGCTGCGTCGTCCAGACTTCGTGCGTCACTTTCAAACAAATCCGAGTAACGGGCAAACCATTTTTCGAATGTGGTGCCGTTCTCCGGATCGAAGCAGAACTCGCTGATGTTCGTCGACAGGGATTCCAAAACTTGCTCTGGGTTCGTTGCTTGTGGAACGGCCAACCGGTGGAGAAGCTGCAAAATCGCTGCTTGGAGTTCTTCGTTTGTCGCCGCCATCCTTTCTCGGTTCGATTCAGGAATTTCTTGAACTTGTGAGCTTCCAGAAAAATCCTCGTCGCCAACTGAAGTGTTCTTCTCAAAGAATAAAGAAAGTTTGAGTGCTTCTAACTATACGTTTATTCAGGTTGACATCTACACTTCGAATGACTAATTTTTCCATCTCGGTCGCAGCTGTAGGTTGCTGCGATTACTTGAATGGAACATCGTGATTACTTGGATGGAACAGTAACATTTTTCACTCGCCTTGTCGAAGGCCAGAGGAGGTTCAGCCGGACCGGACGAGGTGAGCTACCCTCTCATTCGAAATCTTCCCATGGGTGAACAGGCCAAATTCCTGGAGCTTCTGAATCAAGAATGGACTCAAGATTCCTTCCCGGATCAATGGAGGCACAGTCTCACCATCCCGATCCCCAAACCAAACTCTGTGGGACACGAAGTCGACAAGTACCGGCCGATTTCTCTAACATGCTGCGCATCGAAGATAATGGAGAGGATGGTGAACAGGAGACTACTCAGTTTCCTGGAAGAAGGGAATCTTCTAGACCACCGCCAACACGCATTCAGACCGGGCACGGGACCAACACCTACTTCGGATCCCCAAGCGAGCCTTTAAAAACCTTCACGCAGAACTGGTCACTCTCGACCTATCCAAAGCCTACAACCGGGCATGGATGCCGGGAGTACTTGACCAGCTGAAGAATTGGGGTCTACGATGTCAAAAACGGATGCAAACAGCGTATCAACCTGCTCAAAACTCTAGCGGGACGACATCCAAATGCCAATCGAAGATCCCGACTGAATGTGGCGAAAGCCATCATCAACTCACGCCTAACCTACGGAATCGAAGCTACGTTCTTTGCCAAGCCCGGATTGATCGAAAAGCTAGCGCCGGTCTATCATCCATCTCTCCGAATCTGTACGGGTCTTGCATCGAAGGAGGACTACTCCCCTTTGATCGCTTCATCTCCAAAACTATTTGCCAACGAGCCATCGGACTTTACCAGCAGACATCAGGAGACGACGAGGAAGATTCCCTCCTCACGGAGGCGAACAATTCACTCAGGGAAGCATTCAACCCGACTGTTCCCCCAATATCCAAGGTTTACTAGGTCGGAACAAGTCGAAGATTCTGACCGACCACACAATCAAACACCAATTCAGAGACTCCATTTTCTCCGCGGAAGCCATTGCCGCCTTCATTGCAGCCACCATTCCCGACGACCGACCAATAGCCATCTTGACCGACTCCGCTAGTGTGGTAGCCGCACTGGAATCCGATACTAGCAAACACCCTTGGATCCAGGCGATACAGGAACACGCGCCAAACAACACAGTATTTGTGTGGATACCGGGACACTGCGGGGTCCATGGTAACGCAAAAGTGGAGCAACTAGCCAACTCAGGTCGTTGCATGGCCAAGTACACACGAATTGTACCTGGTCTGGACCTCAAAGAATGGGTATCAAAAATCACCGACGAAGGTTGGGCTCGCGATTGGGCCTGCCATCAGAAGAATTAAAAGAGACATCTCCAGGTGGGGGGACAAACATCTACCACAACTACAAGGGAGACGGACCATTCCATAGGATCTGTGATCTATGCCGAATTCCACAAACGGTGGATCACATTATCTGCCACTGTCCGAAATACGAAACACCAAGAAACCGCTACGACTTCCCGAGCAGCATCCGCGATGCTCTCGGTAACGATCGTACCAGAAATACAGCCCTTCTAGCTTTCCTGCGGTAAGCTGGGCTGTTCGATCTAATCTGATCACCTAACTCACCATCACCACCATACCAGATCACACTCGGAACCTGAATCTCACAACTAATCACCCACATCAGCAACTATACAGACCAACGTAACGAAAACGGAATTCTCCACCGAAATGACAGTATTAAGGCAGACAATAAGCAACTAAGGGACCCCCTTTGGGGGCCCCACCCTCTTTTCGGAGGTTCCCTTCCAGGGTCACCAAATTAAAAACTCTGTTTCTGGGGCCCCACGCCCTTTTCGAGAATCCTCTATTGCGATCCAAACTATGTTGTTCGGCCCTCTGGAATTCCCCCCCCCCCCCCTCAAGTAGGGGAATCCCCATCTGGGATTCCCGGAGACGAACCAGCCCAAGGCTGAAAGTCTCTTTAGCACTCCGAATCCGGTGGGTAAAATACTTTACGTCGACTACGAAGCTTCCGAAAAACGAGTAACAGCAAGTTTGCCATTTCTTGATGAATTTCAAAAATTGTGGTACCTCTAGAATTTTTAGGCTCTGTAGATTATTTTAATTGCAGAAAGATTGAAAATAGGGTCGCCAACTTTTTTCAAAAGCGAAAAGAGTCGTTACACGTTTTGTTTTTAAAGGTGTGTTTATGGGTTTCGCAAGTGGCTTAAGATCCATAATTCAGATTAATGGGCACAAATGATCATAATTTGCCAAAATACAGTCATGGTTCCTATATATGGACCATGGAGATAACGGAACGGTCCTCGAAAGATCCGGAACATCCGTAAAAGTGGTCTATCCATAAACCTGATCCTAGAACTCCGCGGTTTTTTCGAAAACATTAGGAACTGTGATATAAGAAAGAATTGGGGTTCATGACATAAACATGGACGGGGATGGCCATGGGACCGTCTTCCGGAAGTTCTGGATCATCCGTAAAAGTGTTCAATCTATGAAACTGATCGTAGAGCTCCACGGTTTTTTCGAAAATACGTGGAACTGTAATATAAGAAAGAATTTGGGGTCGTGACAAACATGGACCCTGATAGCCATGAGACTGTCCTCTGAAAGGCCATGGGACCGTGATGCATGGACGATACTTAATATTTTGAAAGGTTTTGTAACGGAATTCTGAGGCATATTCCAAAAGAATGTTAATGGAAATTGTGTAGAAAAAATCAGGGGATTGCAAGAACGAATCAGTATTGGAAAATAGATATAGAGAAAATTCTAAGAGTTTTCTCAATCATAAGAACATTTTATATTAGAATCCCATGATTATTCTTGTAAAATCTTGACCCTGAGATTGCGGGGATGAATCAAAAAAAAAAATCTATAGAAAACAAACTTTTAAGCAGTGGCGTCGGCGTAATCTCACTTGTTAACTGTTCAACAACTTTGAAAACGTTATTTAGGGTCATATTTACATTCAAATCAGTTTCAAAGGGCACAGCGTGATTTGTATCCATTTGAACTAATATGGTTTTGTTTGTTTACGTTTTGAGAGTTGTTGAACGAGTAGATTGAGGTTAGGGCGACGCCTTTGCTTTCAAGGGAAACCTGTCGAGAGTTCCGTCGAAATTAAAAAAGGAATTCAGACATAGGCACACACACTCGAATTCACCTCGCTTGGTCCACCTGCTAACGTCAAGATCCATCTTGATAGCACTCCCATTGAATGGTCGAGTGAAGTAGTCTACCTTGGTCTCACCCTCGGCGTTGCCAGAATGTTTTAAAGCTTATCGGTATCAAAGGTTTTAAAAATCGGTATTTTCTATTTTAATTAATTTTATATTTTTGCCGTTTTTGAAAGCGAAAATTTTAACGTTTGGACTATGACCGGAAAGTTCCGGAAGAAAACTCCGGGGAATGCTTGAATTAGCTTCTGGAGAAAGCTGAAAACAACATCCAGAGAAAGAAGAAAGAAGCTCTCCTGGAGGAAATTTGAGGAAAGTTCTGAGAGAAGTCGGGAAAACATCCCCGGAACTTCCAAGACATAAATTGAGAAACTTCTGGCGAAAATTTAAAGAAACTTTCAGAAAAAAAATCGGATTTCACATTCAAAGAAAAACAGAAAAGTTTTGTAAATCGGAAATAAATTCCAGAAGTAGCCATTTCCAGGGGAAGCCAGAAGAAACTAGGAAAAACCTTCAAAAAAAAAAGTTAAAAAAAACCAACTGGACAAAAGTCCAGAAGTAGACGAATGAAATTTCTGGGAGAAGTTTAACTGGAGAAGACGGAAGAAACTTCTTGGAGAAGACGGAAGAAACTTCCTGGAGACGCTGGCAGAAACTTTCTAAGGTAGATTGGAGAAAAATTCTGGAGAAAGGCGGAAGCCAGAGCGCTTACGGAACAGTCGAAAGAAACAAGGACATAATTCCGGAAGAAAGAGCTCTTGGGGGATGTTCTAATGATCCAGAAAATTTTCCAAATTGTTATAAAACATCCCTGAAGACCCCGGAATGCCCCTGAAGTTTTTGGAACATTCCTGAAATGTACTTAGGAATATTCCATATTTCCTCGGGATGTTTTGGAGTACTCTGATCATCTTTGAAATACTTGGAACTTCCCTGATTATAATGAGACTACCGGAATATCTCTAATCAACTAGGAAGGTCTCTAGACTTTCTTGTAGATTACGAAATTTCTTGAGCGCTCTCACAATTTTCTTGAATTTATTGAAACATCAGCATTGAACTTCCCGATTTTTCTAATTTTTAAAAGTGATCGACACTGCCATTAATAAGCACGAAACTTCCTATAAAATGTTCTCACAATGTGCCAACGTTTCTTAAATTTGCATGAGCCCCTCGGAACATTG